ATTTATTTATTTAGATTTTGGAGCAAAATATGACCTGTGAATGTTCTTTCGTCTCGCATGAGATTGATGCTTGAGACCTGGTTCAGATCAGCAGAAATTGATGCGAATAGATGAGAACTAATTGTGTGTTTAAATGACAATAAAAGTAGCACTCGAACTCTTGATTGAAGGGGTTTGGCTCTTGTTTTGTGGCTGTTTGCTGTGATTGACCAGCAGTTTTACTCGTGTGATTTGCCGGTTCGTGGTCTTTCTCTACTGTGATTGGCTGGCACTGAGAAGCTAAACTCTGCTGTTATTGGTCGAGTCACACAGGAGCAACTTCCCCTTTACATCCACCAAATGGTCCATACAGGTGTTTCTGATTTGATTTTGTTTTCTGAATCCCTGTACGTATGAATCTATGAACATGAACTGTGCATATTGGTGTATAGTATCTGTCAGCAGTGTGCCTAAATGTACTGTCAATTCTATTTTCTTTAACAAAGCAAGTCGATTTGAATGTCAGCAGTCGTTTTAATAGACTGACAAGGATGCTAAAGGAGTAGAGTGTTTGCATTATGCTTCTAAAACATTCATTTTCAGCAGCTTTACTCAGTATAACACTAATAAAATGAACTCCAACTCACTGCCCTATTCAGAGTGCTGTCATTTACTGTCTGTGTATGAATGAATACTGTCTGACAGATGTAAACCACATGTAATATTTGTAGTTGGAAGAGTTTAGTTGTTATAATCGGATATGTCAACACCCCATGCTTTATATAAAAACTTTTTTCTCACTTAGGCCTGTGTGTAATTGTGCACACACATGCAATAAATCCGTGAGACGAGTCCCATGTGCCAATATTTGCGACTGCAAGCTTTATTAAAGAAAAAAGCGTGTACACTGGAGGCGTTAGATGGTAGAAAAGGTCACCACATTTACTGAATTTGTCTACAAGTTCAGATGTGATGCATGAAAAACCCAGAAGCAGCAGCAGCAGCAGCACAGAGACGCTCGCGATAAACAGCCTAATCTTCCCTTCAGACGAGAATGTAGTTGAATGTGTCTCTGTTCGGACTTAAATGCCTCTCTCTAACACACGCAGATTGTTTTGCGGTAGGAACGTTAACCCTCATTCACACCCACAGTCTCACAACTCGAGTCTCACATTCTGAGAAACTGAGTCGGCAAACATAATTTGAGTGCTAAGTTTTCTTTCATTCTGATCTGTGAAATGTGAAACTAGTGCCTTTCATGGTTACTACACTCTAAAAAATGCTGGGTTAAATAGGGACAAACCCAGCAATTGGGTTGTTTTGACCCAGCGGTTGGGTTACTACTCAAAAGGTTGTGTTAAACATTTATCCCAACCGCTGGGTCAAAACAGGCGGTTGGGTTACTACTCAGAAGGTTGTGTTAAACATTTAACCCAACCGCTGGGTCAAAACAGCCCAATTGCTGGGTTTGTCCCTATTTTACCCAGCA